CAATGCTGAAGAAGCGGAATGGTGGAAAAGTATTAAGTGAGGATGAGAGTGACTAATATGGTTGTGGCACTTCAATCTGTAACCACTTTGTCTTACAATCATGTGATGTACAATGTAAAATTTTGAAAGGGGTAATTTTATAAGTGCGAGTGAATTTGTAAATCTGTAGTCCCTTGATTCTTAAACTATAGTTTGTTTTAAATAATTTGACACATAGTTTTGAAATTTAGAAATAGAAGTGCTGATTGTTTTGTACAAGTGTATTTTTGTAAATGTGTATTACTCCTGTAAGTGTTTTTTTAAAATGTTTGTCCTAACATATAAATATATATGTTATATTACATTCGTATTTGGTGCTTTGTTTATCAATTTCCCGTGCCACCTGGCAATTATCAATTTCCATTGAAAGGTAGGGAAGCTGACCATCTCAGTTGAATCAAACATCAAATGCATATTAATTCTGTAGCATTATCTTTTATTGAGCTCAGAGAATCACAGTTAAGAGCACTTGACTAATTTACTGCTTACTACTAGATAAATAACAGCACAATGTTACAAGCAATAAGAGTTAAATTTTTTACAGGGCAGTTTTACAACCATACAACACAACTATAAGCCAAAGGTTTTATCTACACAAGCATAGGGACTGAAAATGCAAGAGTAGGCTTGACAAGAAAAGCAACTACATCAAAATAGAGCAATTGAAAATAGTTCAGGTTTAAGCATAAAGTACAGTGGTTTCAAATGACCAGAGTGAGAAATGTAATAGAGAGCACGAAAGCAAGTTGAATTTGCAGCAGCAGAAGGAAGCCGTCATGCCTGAAGTATTGAAGCACATAGCAAAAATTTCAAATAAATGTTAAGCTTTTCTAAAATTTTAAATGGAAAAATCTTTGGTGAAGGAAGCATGGTAATTCAAAAAGCAAAAGATATGCAACATCTAACGTCGCGTTTCACTCACGGCAGAGAAAAAAAGATGCAGAAAAAGGTTGTGGCAGAAGCAGAAAGAGAGGCAAAAAACTAAAAAGGTGCTCAAAAAGCTAAAATAAATGCATGCACAAAATATCAGTTATTTACTAGCTAATCTAATCAATTTCTGTAGAGGGGGGGGGGGGACAAGATAAACAGTGAACTTTCTACTGGGTATGGTGGTTGCCCCACAACATGCTGCTGAAGGTTATTCAATTCCCAAATTGCTATTTGACAAGTTACTCCAAAGTAAAAAGACAATAACAGAATGCTGCAGTACCAGGGTGACTCCAAAACAGATGGCACCCAGCCAGCCAGACTCTACAATGATTGGCACAGTTCATTTTACACAACAGCCAGTTATTTAACTCCTATCCACTATCGGCAATGAGAACATGAAAACCTCCCTTAAATAATAGCTTTCGAACATTCTGAAGATTACACATACCACATATATGTTAACAACTTCATGGGTAAAAACATATTCATAGTATAACAGTATACAGTATTAACAAAGCTGAACTCACAAGGAAGAATATCTGAGAAATATATGGCCAACCTGATGGTCACGTACAATGTTGACAAGATATGCACTATGTTTCAAGAATGATTTTAGATACATACAGAAATACTGCTTGAAGAACAAGTATATGGATATCAACATGTGAGAGGCTTGACAAAAATAGCAACAGAAGCCAAATAGAGCAATGAAAATAGGCAACTACATTTGTTGCAATAAGACAAGCCACAAATAATATAAAGCAGGAAGTGAGAGAATATAAACGTTGCATTGATAGAGTAGGAAGCAAAGATAACAAAGCTCCAGCAAATAATAAAAATAAATAAAAAAACAATGTGGAGGTTTGAAAAGCAGAAGCGAACAGGTACATTATTACAAACTTTTCCACTGCAAACAACCTCAGCACACACGCATTTCAAATGAAATTAAATATAGTAGGGAACGTAACTTTACAACATTACAAGCGTTACAACAATTTACATACAGACAGTTCGACACAATCAATAGATTAGATTAGATAGTTTATCACAGACAGAAGTACTTAATTAAAAAGCACATAAAACTCATTAACAGTGTTTAGAAATTGGTCATAGCCAAAGAGCCTGCCAATTTGACTTTATAAAGAAACAACAATGCAATCAACATGCAGGCAGGTTTCAGAGAACTCACAAGAGGCAAAACAGGAAAACAAAGCATAAAAATAGAAATAAAATACTGAGGTTTTAAGCAAGCAAAAATGTGGTGGTCTTTGGGAAAAAAATTAAGGCAAGCAACAAATAAGCAATAGTTGAATTTGCAGCAGGAGAAAGCATGGACATATACCAGTAAGTACTGGAGCAACAGGCAACATACAACGAGCATTAATAATGATATCAGCATGCACCCACGTCCAACTGAAGTTTTGAAAACAAAAAAGAGGGGGGGGGAGAGAAACGAAAAGGCTTCATGGAACAGCAGAGGGTAGAAAAGTAGAAAGCAGACTACTGTACATGCATGAAGTTATGCAGGAAAACTGACTTTTACAGAAGCTCGAGCAAGGACAGACAATTCCATTCCAAATAAAGCAAACGGAGGCAAACCATGCATTCTTGAAAACTAGTCAAGCACAAAGCAAGCAACAGAAATTCAAGAATTTGCAACTAAAGAATTAGACACACAGTCAAAGAATACCAAAGCATCACACACCAAACAAAAATGATAAGAATTAGAAATAATAGGTGGGCATACGCAGGAAAGTTCAATAGGAGATTCAAGACGGCTCAGAAATAGGAGAGGATTACAGAGGTCTATGAATCACAAAATAAGGAATCAGACATATCAAGTATTGTTGGGTGTCTATGGGGTGGGGATGAAGGGAGAGAAGCAAGCATTGCACCAACAAAAGCAAGCAGGAAAGCGCAGTTAATGGCAGGACTCACAAATGATTTGTAACATGAAATAATCCTCACAATTACATATCCCCCAAAACACAAAAAATATGTAAATAGAAAACAAGGTAGCTAGTAAACACATTGAGTAATATTTAACATACAGTAGTTCAGTGCACTCATATCTCCTCACAACTCCATGAGCCTCCCTTACCTACATCTAAATAAAACAGAATTCATGCCAGGCTAAACTTCTAAAACAAGACATTTCACAAGGCAATACTGAAAATACAAAAGGTGAATGCAGTGAATAAATATACACTGAGACACAACAAACAAAATATAAACACAACTAAAATCAGAGTTACAAGAGCATGCTTTTGTCAGGCCCATGACAAGTTGTGAGGAGAGTTGAATAACAGGGTGTCAAACATCTTAGATTAAAACTCTTAAGTTTATATGGACAAGAAATTTAATGCTATAGGTAAGATAAAACTCATATGTTTACTCACACATGACCACAGAATGACAGAAAGCATTGCTGGATCGCGAGGAAGGGGAACAAACTCTTGATACAAGACTAGAAAGCAGGGGAGGCTAGATGCGACAGGGAATGTAGCATTTATCCAAAGTGTACAAGCATTCGGAAGGAAGTTTTTCTTTTGATTTTGTTTCTTTTATGCAAGACAGCAACAGACTAGAGATCAAGAAAGAAAAGGCAAAATTTGAATTTGCAAGATCAGACAAAAGCATGGCAAAATAGAAGCACAAAGCAATTAACAATCCACAGCAAGCAAAAGCAATGGTAAAATAAAAAACAAAAACCACGCTTGCATTAAGAGGTCATAGAACAAAGCACACAATTTTCAGAGCAAGAAAAAGCAGGAAGAAGGCAAAGCAACGAGAAATCAACATACAAAGAAAGAAAAGCCAACAGGGGAACACAACTCTTTGAAACATAATGTGGTCATGTGCGAAAGTAAGACATAACGATCACAGACACAAATTACAAAACCGTTTTAAAACAAGACATAATTTAGAACTTGACATATAATAATATTTACTTAAATACTAATTGATATGATGAGGCCGGCACATAATAACATTTGAAACAAGAATCATATTTAAGAAAGCTTAATTATTTCCCTTCACAACTGTCAGATAAGCAACAAACACCTAGATAATTAATTAATTAATTCTAAACTTGAGCTATACAACAACATAATCCTAAGGCATTCAGAACAAAAACAGCAGCAGTAAAGAGACATCAAGATCAGAAGCTATGGTTACACGCAACAATATGGCAAAGAAGCAGAGCATGTAGCTTGCATTTAGAGAAAATACTACTCATGCATTGTAGGAATTAAAAGGCAAAGAAAACACTAAAACTAACCCAGCAAAATCTAACTACAGCAACTACAGAAGCTTCAAAAATGTAGGCACATTCAAAATGTGAAGGGAATGTGAAAAATATATACATCTGAGCACATCTGAGAGCACCCATGAACAGAAATCTGTTTGGCCCCCATCATCATCACAGACATGATGAGACAAACTCCACAATGCTAGAGAGGCTGCTTCGATAATGACAAAAATGGAGAAGGCTAATTTATAAAATCTTTTGTGGAGGAAAAATTTCAATAGAACTGTTTTAACCCTACCATCATTAGATAGATACTGGAACATACCATAAAAATCAATAGCACATATGTTACACATAATTTCTTAGTTTAAATAAGAGGAGGGGACTTAAAACACTAAAGAGGTCTGCTTTGATAATAGAAACATCTCAGTGAATACTAGCAGATGAATAAGTTTCGCATGATGCAGTGTGCAGATTCAGATGGATCGTATTTTCACAACCATCCCAGCAGTAACCTGGGCACGATCAATCTGCATGAACAAAAGAGAACAGTTACAAAGCTGACGAAACAAACAGAGTCTAATAGCTCACAATCTTATTAAAACAGGGCACTTACCTGCCATGGGTAACAAGCAATACTGGTGGTCAAGGCTGTTTCATCAATAATCCGACTCGATCCTCCACGGAACCTACAACAAACAATTAATGGTTATAAGTTCAACAAATGTTTTGAAATCAAATTCTGCTGAGTCCAAGTCATTTGACTTTGATAATCACCTCATCACAATCCAACACAGACTGGTGTCTCAAAGATCACGTTCACTGCGAAATCACCATCCACAGTTTCTCCACGAAGAATAATCTCAATGCACAGCTCACGACCTGTTGACGTGAAAAGCAAATGATTAAAGCTATCCAAGTTCTTTGTAAATTTACTTCGGGGAAACGTTCCCAGATTCAGTGAGTATTCTAGAGTAGGCTCTGTGAGAAGCAAGTGCTCTAGGCAATCTTAACCTCACTCCGTCTGGACACATAATGGGCACCGCGTTCGAATTCGATAAGTTAAGGACTCACCTCGGATTTCAGAAGTTTACTTGAGATTCTAGAACGACGTCTAACAGAGCTCATCACGAAATAGACACACCAAACATCCAACCACCGCTCACCTGTTGAAATGAAAAGAAATCAGGCACAAATCAAGGGGTGTAACTCGACACGGGCGAGCTTTCACAGGAGCAGTAGTTCGGATTAATGTTGATCGTTAATTTGAGCCGGCCAAACACGTCGGAACAAAGCAAAACTAAATTTAGGAAAGGTGCCACAACGCATCCTAACCCCTTGCGCGACACGAACGTAACGGCCGTGAAAATCAAACGCTAGGGGCTCTCCAAACGAGTATCAACAATCAGAATATTTTAAATTCAAATTTAACATTATTTACGACACATAATCCAACCGCGAAGTCGATCCAAGAAGTTACTGCAAATTCGGATCGGAGGGAAAATCAACAAGCCGCCATGACAGTTTTCCTCCGTGACCTACCGACACTCCAGCAGTGCCAACCTACCAACCTTGAAACTCGGTCATTTTGGTGTTGGTGCAGCATTGGCTGCCTAACTCCACGGCGCTAAGCTCGCACGGTGCAGGGAAGTCCATGATCCTCTTAGTTACACTACATCGCGCCCTCGGCGTAGTCCACTGATAGGGGGCTGGGTGCAATCAGGGAAGTCTAAAACCATCTAAGTGGACTTTAGTTGAAATATGCTTGCAGTGGTCACCAACAAGTCTCAATGGCCAACCCCACACCAGGAGTCTGGTTCTGGCGAACGCTGTAGCCAGACCAGCCTAAGGTCCGTCTTTTCCTCACCCCCTCTCGCCTGCAAGCTCCTATGCTGCCCGTGCTGTGAAAAGACGGACCTTAGGCTGGTCTCACTGTATGATCGCCTTGTGCAATGCCCCCCCCCCCAACAAACCAAACGGACAACACACTAGAGAGAAGACAGTAGAGTGTAGGTGCGTAACACATGGCGTTTGGTATTGAGGTGTACACTTTGAGAAACCATTCGAGTGCATATCACTTGATCCTTTCGAGAAGCGTTCGATAGCCAGAACCACATTTACAGGAGTAGGCTTGGCTTTCACCTGCGAGTCGCATGTTTACATCACTATTACACGTGAGAAACAGTTGACCGCAAGTGTACTGACAACCACACACTGGAGAGAAACCTGTTGAGTGAATGTGTAACACACGGTAGTGGGGTGCACACGTTTGAGAAATCATTCGAGTGCGCAGTAGCGCCACTTTATCGCAAACATTTGAGCGAACCACACACTGGAGAGAAGCCATCGAGTGGCAGGTGCGAAGCACACGACGTTTGGGAGTAGCGTGTACTACATACATACACGTCTGAGAAACCATTCGACCCATGATAAGCCATGGAGCGACAGGTGCGTAACACTCGACGTTTGGAGGTCGCGTTCTCACATCACCTTTGCACACGAAAAACAGTTGATTGCAACCATTCTCAGAACCACACACAGGTGAAACGCCCTTCGAGTGCAGCTGAGCCTTACCATTGGGTGCACTCGTTCCACTCAGTGATTACCGAGCGGCGCACAATGGTGGAGATCCCCGCTGCCTAACTCCACGGCGCTAAGCTCTCACGGCGCAGGGAAGTCCATGGTCCTCGTAGTTACACTTACATCGTGCCCTCGGCGAAGTCTACTGAAACGGGGCTGGGCGCAGGCAGGGAAGTCTAAAAGACCATCTAACTGGACTTTAGTTGAAATATGCTCGCAGCGGTCACCAACGATCGACTTGTTCAATGGTATGAACCCCCCCGCCCCCCCAAAAAAAAACAACAAAAAAAGGACAACACAATGAAGAGAAGCCAGCCGAGTGTAAGGTGCGTAAGCGTAACACATGGCGTTTGGTACTGAGGTGTAACTTTGTGAGGAACTATTGGACTGACGTCACTTGATCCTTTCGGGAAGCATTCGATAGCGAGAACAACATAAACAGAGATTGGAAAGTAGTCTAGGCTTTCGCCCGCCTGCGAGTCGCGTGTTTACATCACTTTTACACGTGAGAAACAGTTGACCGCAAGTGTACTGACAACCACACACTGGAGAGGAACACAACAAGTGTGTAACACGCCCAGCCGTCGGGGAGTCGCGTCAACACGTTTGAGAAACCATACGAGTGCCCATGAGAACCACACACTGGCGAGTAGCCTAGGATGTCGCCTGCAAATGCGTAACACATGACGTTAGAGGAGTCGCGTGTACACATCACCTTACGAGAAACAGTTGACAACACCATTCTGAGAACCACACACAGGAGTAAAGCCGTTTGAGTGCCGATGACTAGTGCCTTACCGTTAAGTGCACTGACTACGCACGCACTCCATCTCGTACTTACCGAGTATCGCGTGTGTCGCACATTGACGGAGATCCCTGACTGCCTTGCAATACTGCATAAATGACTGAAAACTAGGTTCGCTTGGTTTGGATAGTTACACAAGAACGGTTATTGTTTTCGTCGTCGTCGTAAGTTGTGTTCAAAAGAGAACGCTCCTCCGGGCCCTCCACACGGCACTTTTACCACCCGAAAAGTGCAGGAGTCAGCAACTACTTCAGCAACTGCATGGAACAGGGTGCATGGGTGCATCTCTCCATCAGTGAGGTAAACACCATCAGCACTCCTCCAGCCACAGGAAAAGCGACGTTCGTGCAATCAGACAAAACATAAAAGAAATTTGGGTTAGCAAAGAATGTTTTCAATGATAGCGTCGTGCAAAACAAATGGAGTAGTAGGCAACTCAATCAACACGGATGTGAATCGGCAGTGTACCTCACAGGCGCGAGTACTCGTACTATCTAAATAAAACTTATGGCGGTTAACGACAACGCCCCTTCCCCTCCCCAGAAACGTGCCAATGTGGAATTCACATGAAATGCGCCACCAATCCGTAATATTGTACCAGGTGGATGAATCAGCCAATGCCCATTTAAGATTATTGGTATTACCAAGGCTCCCTTGTCTTACCCTGACACGTATAGCTGCTCCTTGCCCCCCTAAACTCGCCACCTCGTCATGACCATATACCGGGTGATTCAGAGCACGCGCCGCTGTCGGCGGGTTTGCCTACTCTGTCCGCCCGTCAGGCGCCATAGCCCCTAGGGTATGCTCTGAATCACCCGGTTCACACTACCTCCTGAACACATGTAGGTATCCAGGAGGTACTGCATACATGTACACACTTGAGTTTCCACAGCATTGTTTTCTGGAACTGGGTGTGGCACCTCTCAGCCCTCCGTGTGCACTGGAGAAGTTCTCCGCATTTGTCTTTGTCACGATATGTTCTGTTAAAAGACACTCTGATTTCCGGAATGTCAAGGTCAAGGAAAAACCAGGTCGGAGAAAAAATAGGTCGGAGTAAAGCCAGGTCGGAGAATTTTTTTTGCCTTTTTTGGGGATCCGTCACTATACCGGGGTCGGAGAAAAAAAGGTCGGAGAAACGAACTGCACCGCGTGGCCCGGCGTGGCCCCACCCCGTGGACCCCGTGGCGCGCACTGCGGCCCGGCCGGGGCCTCGGACGGGCGCACTGCCCGCCTGTACAGTACACTTTGGGCCGCACGTACGTGTATACACACACTCGCGCAGCCCGCGCCAAAAGCAGCCCCGTCCGACTAAAGCCGCCAATTTTATTATCACCATACGCCGCCCGCTAGCAGAACTCCCTTTACAAGCAGGAAAAGGAGGTCAGAGAGGAAATGAGAGAGAGAGAGCGAGTGGAGAAAAAAGTATCGCGATGAGGGCGTTATCTTTTGTCAGCATTTGTATAAAAGGGAATATTGCCACGGCGTCGGCCCGTCACTGTCACGTCGTCGAATCGCGAGAGGCCTCCCGACAGAAAGCAGATATCCTGGTTTCGGGGTATCCAAACCCATATATAACTCTCGCGGATACCATGATGCTGTCGAACGGTTCAACGATACCCAGTCGGGTGGCGCGGGGGCCGCAACAACCAACACGCCAAGCCACCTTGGCCCAGTGTTTGTTGCGGACTTGCAACCCCCGGCGCCTCGCGCTCGTAAAATGTTGGCGATCTGCGGGTAAAAATAGAAACGCCGGCTGAAGCCGTTGTCTCGCGGCCCCAAGACGTCGGCGTCGGCGCCGCCTCTGAAGAGCGCCGCGCCCGTCGTCTTGTCTTGCCGTTAAGATCTCCCCGATTTACGTTAACATTTGTCGTCGGTTTCGGACCTGGATCTCCTTCTACTCCTTATGTCCAACCCGGACTGTGCCACCCCACAAATAAATTGTCTCGGTGAATTGATATTTCACCGTAAGCTACCACGTATTACTTCACCGTAAGCCACGGTGGATATCACTGTATACGTTACGGTGAATAACAATGAATAAGTTACGGTGATCCAACCTTGCTTCACCGTAAGTTTACGACGTTGCGCCTAGCTTTGCCGTTAGTTACAGTGCTGCACGGTGAAATCTCCCACGCCGTAAGCTTTCTCCAGTGCCCTGCAGTGTGGCCTGCGACTGACAGCGGGTAGGTGCCGGGGCGCTCGCTTCAGGCGCGCTCGCCGCGTGGTTGGGGTTGGTCGCGAGCGGGGCAGGCGCCGCTGGCGCCTGGCGCCCCCGGCCGCGGCCCTGGCGCACTCCCAAAGGGGTGACAATGTCGCGCGGAAGCGTTGTTTCAGGGCCGCGTGGGGACGGGCCTAAGTGCTCCCACCACGCCGTGCACCCCTACAGATTTTCGGGGCGACCACCACGCCGCGTCGTCGACGGCGGCCCGGCCGGCCTGGACCCTGCCCCGCCGGCGCGGCGGCGCGTGGGGGAGGGGGCGGGAGAGAGAGGGAGAGAGAGGGAGGGAGAGGAAGGGAGAGGGAGGGAGAGGGGCCTCTGGCTCGTCTGCTCCCATCCCATCCCGTCCCGTATCGTCAACTCAGTTGCCGGCATGACGGAGGCCGTGACGGAGCAGGCCGCCGCCGGGGCCGCCGCCGAGTGCGGGTGCGGGAGCGAGGGCGGGAGCGCGTCGTCGTGCGCTGGGAGTGAGGCGCGCAGCTCGCCGTCGTGTGGATTAGAACTGCGCCGGCGACACAGCCACGAGAAGGAGAGTCGGTGCGACTGCCCGCAGGAGTCCCATAGGTGTGTTCTCACCCCGCCCGCCTTCCTTCAAAACTAACGCAGTAAGAAAAGAAAGAAAAACAACAAGGAAGCAGAATAAAACTTTTCAAAGAAAGTCAATTAGAAGTGTGTGAAGTCGTTGTGTTTCTAAGCAGGCGGTTTGGACTGTACTAAGCAATACTTAAGGGAAAGGAAATGCACTTGTAGATTAAACCCACGATACTATAGGGTCAGCAAGTTTGTAAGAATAGCGCTGCAGAG